TGTGCTTCACGATGGTTATGGAGAGTGGCGCTTTCATCATGAAAAATGCATTGGTGCACGGCTTCTTGCCCTGTCCCAAACCTCGCGCTTTATGCGCGCGGAAACCATGCCATGGGTTTACCGCGAGGTATACAACTGGAGCCGCCCCGAGGGCGACGTGTGGCCAAAAACGTTGTGGCCTTTTTTCCGGTATGTATCTACTAAACTATCGTTATGAACCATCCTGGAACTGAATCGTGCAGTGTACTGCATATCCGGGACCATTCCGTCCGTCACCCAAAGCATCTGCCTTTGGGGAACGCGTTGTTCACTGCGCTGCCGATGATGTCGGCTCTGACCCAAGTTACCTTGCGCTTGGATTCGCCGCTTCCTCCTGGATTGCTCGGTGGACTTGCTATGGTCCCTAATCTTACTTCTTTGGAGATACTCCAAATTAGATTCGACGGGCCATCGCCTCCTGTTCTGCTGCCGTTCGTGTCCTTGAGCAGTCTCCGGTTAACAATCACCGGATTCAAAGGCGTTGTCCGCGCAGACGGTATTAATCACGGAACCGAAACCTATAACGTCGGCATCCTCCTGCGAAATGTGGCCGGTCATCTGAAAGACCTGAAAATATCTGGAGACCTCCTTTCGCCAGAGTTCCTTGCGATATCATGGCCAAGTTTGAAGACACTCTGTGTGACGGAGCACACACCTACTCCGTTCCTCGCGGTTCCGCACATCGTCGCGGGCATGCGGGCTCTGGGGGATTTCTCCATCCTGTTTTCAGCCGACTTGACCCGTGACGCCGACGATACCTACCCTCCGTTCACGCTGGGAGTAGTTGGAGGAGACGTCCTCACGCGGCATTCTCCCCATCTGACTTCGGTGACCCTCTCCAACTTGGTTCCCACCGACCCGATTTTTGCGCAGCTTCCGAGCTCGCTGGAAGCTCTCCATCTATTAGCAATGCTGGACCTCTATGTCCCTGGTCCAAGCTCCCCGCCTTCGCTTCGAGGGGCGCCTTTAACACACTCCGAAGTGTTGAAGGTTCTAGACTCCATCTCGCACCTGACAGATCTTCACCAGTTGACCATAACCACCAAAGAATTCCCAACACCAGATCTGATTCACGAAATTGCGTCGAAATTCCCTGCACTCAATTTTCTACAACTGGCACTTCCACGTCACAGACGTGGCGACAGAAAGTGTCTCGATGTTCGCAATGTAAGTTCATTCACCCACATATTCAAACGACCCTCACTCGCACCCCTAGGATGCTTTCCTTCCAGCGTTGCAGCGGCTCCCGCTCCTCGCGCACCTACGCATCTCTCTCGACTTTGAGAGTCAGCGGTTCGACGAGGCCAAACAGGTGGACGCGGCTAGCTGGCTCATGCAGGCCCTTCCGAACCTGCAGATCGTCGAATTTTCGTGGCCAAAGATCGGCCCTTGGGAGAAAATCGGACTGGAAGATTTCTATTGGGCCGGGTCTGATCGCAGTGTTTTATTGCTACCACCCAGGCGCTCTCCAATACCATCGCCACCGCGCAGTAGACGTCCATCTTTTGTTATTTCACTGGATGAATTTTGATGTCGATTTTCTCTTGATTCTTGGTCCTGTTCTTTTTCAAGAATTTTGCATTCACAACAAGGTAAGTACGTAGGTTACTAACACGGCCCGCTCCCACTCAGAAACGGGTTCAGGAAGTTTGGGTGTATTCTAAGGAAACACCTCGAAAGAGAGACGGCAACACTTGTCCCGCCGCCGCCGCTCAGGCAAAAGTCACTCGGCCTCACCATGCACCGCCCCGCCGAGGATGGCTCTACGCACACTCGCACTGCCTTCCTCGTCTTCTCCCCTTTCACCTCCGCCTCCCCCGGACACCATCGTCTCGACTTCTCGCGCGTCTTCGTGCGGCTGCAGGACGACGCCGCCCCCTCGTCGGGCTGCGCTCCCTCTTTGCCCGGAGGCCCCCAAACGAAATCTCGAATGTGCTGCTCAGCGGCCCCAAGCCTGCGTCTCATCAGGTCCATCCCAGCGCACACCCGCATCCGCGCCTCGCCACCGGCGCTGAGCACCAGCACCCACTCTAACTAGCCACCCAGCCGGTCCTCCCCTTCCGCGCGCCGGGCTCTAGGACCCCCGAGTCCCTCGCTCCCCGCACCAGAGGCCTCGCCCAGTATACCCGCGCCAGTGGTGCACGCACATTCACGTCCCCTTTCTCCTCCCCTCCGCGTCCCGCGCCCGCCCGTCAAGCTCCATCGCATCGGCACCGAGGAAGCGTTGCTCATCGACTCTGCGCGCCTGCATCCGGCTGCGGGACTACGCTGCTCCCCTCGTCGCGCTGCACGCCATCTGAGGAAAGACGCCTCCGATATCGCGGTCCTCACGCCCATCGCCGCTGCCCACCCGCGCTCACATACGTTTCGCACAACACCTGGTGCAGACAGGCAAAGTGCCAGGGTCGCAGATGGCGCGCGTACTGGAGAACTCGCCCCCGCTGCTTCCTCCGACTAAGAAGACGACGGACAAACGACGACCGTTCCGCGGCGGCAGCACTGTGCATCCACATAGGGCGTGGGCGGGCACAGGCGACTAATGAGGGGCCGGACGAGAGGAAGGCGGGGCGATGCCTGTTGCCGGAGGAGCAAACTCGGGCCAAGGTGGATGCGGCGGTGCTCTTGGAGCAGTATATGGCGAAGGAGGTGCGAGTGGAGATTAAATGGTAAATTTTATTATTTTTGAAGAATCGCATCGAAGATCAGCGTAATGTCGAATCGGTCCGCGGTCGAGCGGCACGTTTGCGGCGGCGGGCACTCGACCATCTCCACTGCCCTTGTTGTCCTCGGTTCGGGTGTGTTGTGGAATGAAGCCTAGCCGACAACGGGGATAAGCCAAAAGAATCCGAGAGTGCAAGGGGGCCGGCGTGAAGAAAGGCTCAAAGAGAGCACGGAAGAAGGGCGGAGAGGGGGGGGGAATGGAAGGAAGGACCGCAAGCGCGACAAGACACGGGGGGCGACAAGAGACGAAGGAAGGCGGGGGGATAAGGAGATGGTCGCGGGAGCCCAGATGGAAGGTAGCGGGATCAGGGAGCACCCGGAGGAGACGAGGGACGGTCATATAACGAAGGTTTGCTTGAGGGAGCAGTCCGAGAGAAACGAGCGGTAGCCGTAAGGAGGGCGGGTACAGCTGCTCGATGGCAGTGGAGGCGAAGGTCGAAGAGTATAGCGAGACGCGCGTGATGGCGATTGAAGGAAGGCGGGGTCGAGGAGGGCGGAGGAGGTGGATGATGCAAAGGAAGGAGGAAGCGGGTGCAGAAGGGAGAGCAGAGCAGGATGCGGGTGGCGCGATGGCAAGCAGGAGCGGGATGCCGGCCGAGAATGGGAGGAGGGTGAAGGCGCGAAGGACGGGGTAAGAAGGAGAAGGGAGGAGGAAAGGCGGGGCCAGCAGAATGAGGGAGGAAACGGAATGGAGCCAACGAGACGTAGCTGATGGTGAGGCGGAGAGGAGTGGTGTAGAGCAAGGGAGGATCGATGATTCGACGACGATGAAGAGTAAGGACGACACATAAGTAACAGAAGCGAGGGAGACAGCAAGGAGAGGATGGTCGGGGGAAGTCGTCGGAAGTGGAAAACCTCGTGCGGCAGTTGTCTTGATTGTGGGACGGCGGTGTATGGTCAGGCGGAGGCGCTGGTGAGAGAAGGGCGCAATAACGCGAATTTGCCATCGGAGGAACCCGTCGGAGGGGGGCATCGAGCGAGGAGTATCTGTAACAATCGGGTTAGCGTCGATATCAAGGACATAATGGAATAGGTGGCTATGGCGGTAATGGGAGGGGGCATATTTGAATCGCAATTCCAGCCACCATGCTTGACGGAGCGAACAAGCGAGAGGGACTTTCACTGAAGCTAAGACAACGTACCAAGCAAAGACCGAGGCAAGATTGAAGCACCCACTGCCCGACAGATAAGCAACCGCTGTGCGCAAACCTGGTGGCAAGGTCACGAAGTCGTGGTGAGGCCAGTCTTGCAGTAGGAGGTTGACTTGTACCCAGACTGGGCATCCATGGGCCGGTATTGCACGCTACATGTACAGAGGGGGAATGCCCGAAATCCAGGTTGGTGGTCGAAAGCAAGCGGGACGCCGGAAGTTGATGCGCCTCCACCAAATTCACACGCCCCTCTCCTTGCTCTCAACATCCATCATTGCAACTTTCCTCCTTCACTGGTGTCCTTCACGGGTACAGAACGAACAGCGTTGAAGGCCCGGTGCACAGGGTGTGCGTCTGCTCCCATTTGGTGTTCGATGGCGTTAAGGCAGAGCTTTCTGGTTCGACTCCAGGCTGGGCCCTGGCCATAAGGTATAGCGGTGCTTTTTTCCTACCGTCAACGTCGTCCAGAGGTAAGCCGCCTCGACGCAGGACTCGAAGACTCGAGGACCCCGTGGCTCCGCAGAGTATGTACCAGCGGATTCAATTTCAGCGGGCTCGCAGGAAATTTCACCTCCAACTCACAAGGTTTGCCTTGTTTTCCCAGGATTACTGCCTGCCTATTGGCGAATGGAGATGGCAATACCGCAGACCCGCGGCGTGCTCCCGTCACTCTTCATCCTCTAGCGCAGCTTTAGCAACGGGAGACTCACGGATCGAATCCGAGCTGGGTCGTCGTGCCCCAAAACGAAATGTCTTTTGTCCCAGCTCCGATGATGCGTCTCGAACCGGAAGCCATTCGAATTCCTATCATTCCGTCCTCGGACTAGATGTTGAATCCAGGCGGCCTCAAGTGTCTTACAGTGGTATTCTCTCAACTCCCTCGCTTATACGAAGTATTGACAGTAGAATGAAGTCCCAGCAGCCTACTTAAGATCGCGCGCAGATACACTGCGATCAGCGTAGCGGGAAGGCTTGGTTCAATGCCAGGTTTGGGTCCTATTTCAGGTGGATGCCGCTTCTTTTTAACCTCTACTATTCAAATGCCCCCAATTTTCCTACCTACTGACGAACGAACTAGGGGATAGCACCGACCCAGCAGCACATGGTGTGCGCTTGTAGATTGTACATCTTCAACTACCCCTTTCGCAAGAGCCCTGGTTCGATTCCAGGCTGGGTTATTCCAATTGGTCTGAGGCATTTCTTACTGTGTGGTCGTTTCTGATTTTTTTTTTTTTGGATTGAAAGGGTCGGTGACTGACTCAGGGCGCGGCGCACACCTTTTCTATCGAATTGGTTTCGGTCCAACGATAATACCTGGTTAGAACCCAGGGTCCGTCCTAGGTCGACGAGCTCTATCCTTCGCCGTTGTTCTGCTACCCATCGACCGACCAACCAATGAGCATAACATAGACCCAGAGCGCATGGTGCGCACCTGTTGATTGCTCGTTTGCCGTCCGTCTTTCATGCAGGGCCCTGGTTCGATTCCGGGTTGGGTTGTACCTATGGTTGTTGCACTCTTTTTGACGTGAGTTACTTACCTAGCGCCGAGCGGTCATTCAATGAATTTCATTGACTCATGAACGCCATTTCGTCGCACCATGTTCAAGTTACAATTATCCCCACCCACCCGTCCACAGAGAACGGACCCAGAGCATGGCTTACATCCACTGTCCAAGCGGAGGCGTGATTGTCCCATGGTGGCTCCTGGTTCGACTCCAGGCTGGGTAGTCCCAGAATCCCAGACCCTTTTTTATCCTTGAAGTAAACTTCGCACTCAAAACCTCGCAGGCACACCAACCGCAGGGAACTTGCTCCACGGCTCCAAGTTCAAACACCTGTTTTCCACCGCAATATTCCGAGTCCTCACTTCAACTCACGTATATATTTAACTGACCAGTGAGTGAATGGACGACGTAGGCCCAGCATCTGCTTGATTGGAGTCCCTGGTCAGGCAGAAGGTCTGATTCGATTCCCGGCTGGGTTATACTACCTTAGTTAGCAGGTTTTTTCCTCGGCACGCGGTAGTGGTTCAACTTTAAATTGCTTCATGACCTCGGTTCATCCAAATACTGATTGCTTGGTTCAACTTGTAACAATACTCACCCTCTCTCAAGCACGGACTCACTCCGAGCACTCTACCGTCACAGTTGCGGAACCTCTTAAGCTTCGTCGACGACTTTATCGACGGACAAGTCTGCCCAGGAACAGACCTGGAGCATGGTCTGCATCTTCTATAGACGCGACGCCAGCTCCCTGGTTCGAGTCCAGGCCCGGTGTTCGAGTCGTGGTGTATGTTGATCATTTTATTCGGCTCAAGCAACTCAGCGAGAGAGTTAAGAGAAACGCAGATGTAAATCAATCCTAGTATCGATTCCGCGAGGTGAATCTAAGACTCAGTGGCACTCGGTGCGCGCCTGTCCTCGTTAAGAGATGTAACGGGGCTAGTCTCGGTTCGATTCCGGGGTTGAGTCATATGGAGGCGTTGGAGGCGTTAAGGCTTTTTGACTGTACAAGTAATACATTGCCAGGGTACGTCTATATCGACCGTATCATCCTGTGGGTTGGCCCCGAAGTTGACTTACTAGATGAGCTCAAACAGCTTTCCCACGGTTGAATCTAGTGCCGTAAGGTCAACTTGCGCATTCTTCGAATGATCATCGGCCTTTTGGCGGTCGCTTTAGGGCAGAAACGTGGTGCCTGTTGCTTGAGAGCGGGCTCTAGAAGTTGCCGGGATCATCGAACGCGTGGCCAGCCGGCCGAAGTGCAGCACTAGTAAGCCGGCGGAGTGCAGTAAGTCCTAGGTAAGCGTAGAAGTTAAATAAGCACTTGGATTTCCCCCTAAGCCATCGCTCTCTCCCTCCCATGTCTAACTTTGAAACCAAGCAGCTCCAGAACGCCCATGCATTTTTGAAGCATTTGAACGCCCTCGAGTGGGATCCCCTGCGTGATCTGATGGCACCGACCTTCAAGCACCAGTACTTCCCCGCAACCCTTGTTCCTCCGGAGGGAAGGGACACGAGGGGGAAGGATGAGCTCATTGCTCTCTTAAAGCATAGCTGGACTCAGGTTTTCGAGAGGATCACGGTTAGTGGTAATTTTGACGACATTTGATTCTCCCTGAACACTGGCACACAGTTCGAAGAGCCCTTGGATGTTATACACGGCTCCAACAAGGTCGCGTTCCACGTTAGGCCTTCACGTACTATTATCATCACGAGAATTAATCGCTCACCGCGATATGTGTCCAGGTCAAATCAGACGGGCTTTCGAAGTCGGGGAAGAAATACAACAACGAGTACATGCTCACCTTCCACTTTGACGGCGAGAAGATAATCAAAATGAACGAATTTGTTGACTCAAAATATTCCGACGCGTTTTTCACCGCGCTGATGGCCGAGTGAGTGTGCGAGTGATTTCTCCTTCGCCCCTCCCTCAACTCGTCAATAGATCTGCTTCTGCTTAAGCCCGTGGACAAACCTGTCGTGTAGACAGAGATTATGGAGCCTTGAAATTCCATCCATGTACGAGAGCGTTGACATGTGGGCGACTATCCACAACGCAGCTTTAGAGAACCATGTAATCAACAATGCTTATCATTCGCGAATTCGACGCGCCTCGCATCGCGGGCACAGTACTATGGAATGCCGCGGGATGTCCGTCGAGCCGATGTCATTTTAGACCGACTCGCTTCAAGGTAATTTGAACATCGTAACGAAGCGGGTAAACAACCGACTAATCGGGAATGGAATAATGGATATCGCGCACGGGGGACGACACAGCAACTAGCTAGTGCGGGTGCGGGGAAGCGATCAAGTACATGCAGCATCCTGCGTCAATTTTGGCCGCGTTAGTCTAAGGATGATCCCCAAATTCAACTTGCCAGGTAAGCTCAGACGTCTTTCCCACGGTTGAAATCCTGGGGCCGTCATGTACTAAATGACTAAATTTCGGAACGACTTGCGGAATTACACCTAGCTACCTTCGAATGCTCGTCTGAATCGGCCTTCTGGGTGTCAGTGTAGGAGATTGAATGTGTTGCCTCAGTGCCGTTTATCCAGAATCCTCAAACGCGTGACCAGTCGGCCAGGCTTAAATACGAAGGACTTTGGTCTGTCCCTGAACCAACTCGCTTCCTTCTATCATGTCTGACCTCGACAGCAAGCAGCTCCAGAACGCCCGTGCATTCTTGAAGCATTTGGACGCCAAGGAGTGGGATTCCCTGAGCGACCTTATCGCGCCCACCTTTAAGCAGCAGTACTTCCCCGCCACCCTTACTCCTCCCGAGGGAAAGGACACGCGGAACAGGGAGGAGTACATCGCCCTCTTGAAGCACAGCTGGACCCATGTTTTCGAGAAGATCACGGTTAGTACAAATCTTACCCTCGTTCTATTCTTTCTGAACACCAGCACGCAGCTCGGGGAACCGTTGGATGTGATACACGGCCACAACAAAGTCGCTTTGCACGTTAGGTCTTCCGCCTAATCACGAGAATCAATTATTGCTCACCGCAGTCTGTATCCAGCTCAGATCCGACGGGATGTCCAAGTCGGGCAAGAAATACAACAACGAGTACATGTTCACCTTCCACTTTGACGGCGAGAAGATCATCAAGCTGAACGAATTTGTCGACTCGAAATATTCCGACACGTTTTTCACCGCGCTCAGGGCCGAGTGAGTGTCGCAGTTGTTTCTACTCCCCGAAGTTCTTACCGAGGTCGTCCATAGATCTGCTTGAATCTCACTGAACCAGGGCCTGGACTGTCCATGAGGGCAAGCGTGGCCTTGCCTGTCGTGTACTTTATGTAGTACCACAACGTAGTTCAAACACAACTCTGTTGACTTTCCTCTACCTGAACGCCCTAAGCAATGAGCATACGGATCTCAGCCTGCCCGGATAGTAATTTTACCCATGGCACCTTCGAGACTTGTTTGAGACGGTAAAAAATCGGACTGTTTAGCACCGCTGCCATGACTCGCCCGCGAATTGAACGCGCGACACGAGCACAATATTCTGAGGCACCGTGGGATGCTTTGAATCTGAACCCATCGAGTCGCTATGATTTTATACTGACTCAGAGCTAAACCACAGCGGTTGGAATTCCCTCTCAGTGCTCTCACCCGAAACTCGATAACTTTTCTTGAATCTCATCTATGTAGCGCTGCGGCGCATTTCCAACCCGGAACTGATTGACTTGAGTCAGTTTGAAATCGCAGCTTCAAAGCGATAAAAACAAACGATAAACGACTAATGGCTTGCCCCCGGATTGAACGGACTCACAGTACTTATTCCATGAGAAGTACTGTGGGATGCTGTATCGAGCCGATGTCATTTCATATCGACTCTCCGTTTGTTTACAGCGGGTTGCATAACAGGACACCAAGCACAAGCGACGCGCTCTTTGTGAATGTTTGGCGCGCTCAGCCAGGACGCGTCGAGTCACGTGCACCCTCATTTTTCGTCCACGGCGACTTTCTTCGACATGATTGTAGGTTGCCGGCAAGCGGCGGGCACAAATTGAAGTACTCAAAACACTCGCCGCCCTCGTCCCTCGGGCGGCTCGAGTTTCTCGCGAGAAAAATTGCGGCTTGGTGATGGGAACAGTTACGTGGTGATGGTGCAAGTCATGTGCGGATTATCAGACATTCTCGGTGCTGGTAGCACAAATCTTCACTTCGTTCAATTTGTGAAGCAGAGCTGAAGGACTTGATTTTGGATTCCGATTGAATAAATGCGACCTGAATAAATAATCGACAGCAGCAGACGGAGCAGAGAATCAGAATGTCCAGTGGGAGAGAACGAACGAGAGTGAGGGTGGACAGTGGACAGTCAGGTAAGGAGCGGGGACGACGATACAGTCTAGCAGAGCGTGTAGGTAGGTAGGTAGGTAGGTACAGGGTGCGCGACAGCAATAAGTAGGTGGTGGTACATATGTACATACCGCATGTACAGGGTGAAATGAAGATGATAAGTATACGAGGAACAAAGGGACGCCGCACCAAAACCACCAAGGAAGAAGAAAGGCCAGAGCAAGGTCAACGCGCAGCCGTCGCGGGCGGGTTCTTGGGTCGATGCGGCCACAGGTTCAGCCCAGGCAAATGCGGCATGATCGCCGTCTCGAGCTTACGCGTCGTCTGCTCAACGCTCAACACCCCGCGCGCCCGCGCCCTCGGGAGGTG